TACTCAAAGAACCAAAAGAGAAGTTTCTGCCATATCCCTGTATTTGCTATTTCTCCTTTCCTCTTGTCCAAACCCAAGATCAATAGAAACAGACAATATTCAGCTCTGTTAATGGTCACAGTGGCAACATTTGCGTCCTGAGAACTTACTGATTGGAGTTGTGGTCATCTGCTGATAGGCCGGCGAGGGAGAAGCACCCAGACACAAAGGAACCCATTGGAACACGTATAACTGTAAGTCTCTAATTATCCTTTCTAATTTTGGAGCCATGTGACGGGACTTCACACAGCACCGCTGACCCCCTGTCAGCCCGAGTGCTCTGGAACTGGACCACATGGGGAGGGGATGCTACTCTTGGTCCTTCATTAAAATATTGTGTTACACTCACAAAGTGAGCTCTTTCCTGGCTGACAAGCAGCCCCCTGGTCAACATGCAGCACCTACGAGAATTTATTCCTGTACAGATTTATGGCCAGGATTTTAAGAGGCTATTTTTATTTTACAAAGAGTGATCTACTTGATATCACAAAGGTATATAATACTTTTAAAGACAAATAGTGAGACAAGTACAAAATAAGTCTTTCCCTACCTGATACTAGAATGCTGCAAATTGGAATGCTTCTTCTTTGACCTGGGTGGCCAGAGTAACAGGGAAGAACAAAGTCTCTCTGGCCACCAAAGCATGGATAAGTCCAAGACTGGAAGGTCTCAGAGAGGGAACTAAGATTTGCTATAGAGCCACAACAACCTAATTGTCTTTCCCAACCACTTACACCTTTCTTTAAAGAAGCAATGCAACAGAGACCAATGTCATCCTGTGTTCAAAAGAAATCACTGTCAAATGCTGCCACTGAAATAATGTTTAATGACAAATAAAGACACACTGAAGTAGAAAAAGATTTTAAAACATATCTTGGCAATACCAAACCAAATGCATTTTTGTTTTATTTAAGATATTTATCACAAAATCATTACCAGTCCTGTTATAGAATTTATCACAACATCATTACCACTCAGACAGATGATTCAAGCGTTCTTATTCAGCATAGCTCAGTAAGAGCATGGGCTCTCAAGCCTGACCACCTGGATTCAAAAGTTGGGTGTGCCGCTTACCACGTGTAGCCTTAGAAAAGTTACTTGGCCTCTCTGTGCCTCAGTTTCCTTATCTGGAACATTGATAGTTCCTTTATTTCTCCTTGCTTATTATGAGAATTAAGCACCATATGTTTTCTAAATAAAACCTACAGGCTACATAGGATACAGAATTATATTTAGAGACCAGCTAAAGTAACTTACAATATTTTCTACAAGCTGACAACTAATATTTTATACACTGAAATCAATACTTAATGTCCTTGGTTCCTGTCTACCGAATATGAAAGAAGCTTTACCAGGGGAGACTCATGAGTGTTATCCCTTTCCTTTGTGCCTTCCTCAGAGTTCACTTTATTCAATAAGGTCAACCCCTGCTCACTAGCAAGAAAACAGGAGAGGATGGCAAATGGAGGTGGAATCCTGGGCACGTGCACTTATTTTATTTATCACTTGTCTTTTGTAAATATCCTATTTATTAATAAAACGAGAAAATATGTTTTTCTTTGAATTCTAACACTTTAGTCCTCAGAATGTGGCTGAGAGACAGGTATAATATTTCCTTACCTCCACAGAGTTATGTTTTAATGCAGAGGAAATTTTAAAAGTCTGCTCATTGACTGATTTAAAAATTTATGGAAACATGCTAACTATTGACTTGGTAAATTTTTTCTCAAATTCAACACATACACCACCAGTAATAACAACAACCAGTTCTACATTTAGAACTTAGTTTCTTTTGCGGGGGTGGGGAGAGCAGGATTTATTGAAAGGACAGGAAAAACTCCCAGAGCAGGAGGGGAACCAAAGGGGTTGCCCAGAACTTAGTTTCTTAAAAACAAACCAGCTCAGACTTCTGGCTCTACAGACATATGACACGAGAGAAATCAGATAAAAAGATAAAATAATGATATAAGAGACCAGGTGACCCAGTATAATGAATGAATCTTAGGAAAGTCAGACAACTTGAATTCTAGTCCAGGATCTGTTATTAGAAAGTCACTGACTTTAGGTAATTCATTTCACCCAACTAAACACAGACTCTTTACTATAAGGTTATCTGAGGCCCTTTTCAAGCTGTAAAATGTCATAATTCTCCAACCCACGACACTAACCAATTTCTCTGCAGCTGCAACTTCTCCAAAGCACCAAGGAAGGCAGATGGCAGCAAATAAAAATATGAAAGTTTTCCAGTTTCTTTAAAATTTCTTAGGATTATTAAGTCTGCTCCCTTTTTTAAGCCCTGAATAGAGACATATATCACAAAATAAAACTGCCCCCGCCTATAACCACTTATTATCCTATGCCAACTCAAAGAAACTGAAACAGGGGGTCCCATCAAGTTGGTCTGTCCAGTCACAACAGCACTCAGCTCAGGAAAGGATGGATGACCAGCAGTCGGGATCGTGCGGGAGCAGCGCCAGGGCTGGGGTAGGAGGCAGGTTGACTCATCTCCAAGCTGCCTGCCATTCAGTACTAGAATTTGGTCTTTTATCACGAGACAATATCTCATGGTTTGACCACGCAGGTGACGCAACTGAAACTTTATCTTGAGATGGCCTGAAGGATACCACTGTCTAAATCTGAGACACCAAAATACTATAGTCTACTCCAATACTCTCTGAACTACTTAACTCTGTCCATACTCATGACCAGCACCCATGCTGGTCCAAATGATGACAACCTCGTGTTTTAAGTGCACAAGCCATATATCTAATAAACCTTTCAGTCAATTCCTTCACTGATATTCATCTCATCTTCATTAACATACCCTGTGGCTTCTGTAATAAACACCCTCGGCCCAAAACACTCCCTGACCTATGTTTGGTCAACTTCCACTCATCCCAGAAAGTCAGGTTGGAATTTCAATTAAATTATCTGCATACCTGTCCTATAGCATTTTATCACAATTTACAGTCCTCAGAAATAATGGTGAAGCAGAAATGGCACCCTCCATTTGGGGACACCACCTCTCAGGGGCACCTCTCCCCCCCAGGAGCTCCCCACTCAGGGGCACTCTCCTTTTCAGGGACACCCCCACTGAGGAACATCCTAATCTCAAGGATTCAGGAAATCTAAATATGGACTTATCAGCCAACCAAGTGAGTTCACACATTTACTTAAGCTTCTACTTTGCACCAGACCCTGTGTTAGGTGCTTTAGTCTACATAACCCTTCTAATCTCACAGTCACACAACACACTGGATATCCATTAACCACATTTTGCAAATAAATAAATCAGATTTCAGGGAATAAGTGGCTTACCCAAGTAATTCAGACCAAAGACTTGTGTGTTTGACGCCTTATTCTTTTTAGTATGTGAGCCAATAAGACAACTAACATCCACAGTCAATTTTACGTGGAAATGCACAGCTGCAGTGTTACAAGATGCCAGTCTTGATTTTGCTAATCTAATGAACTATCCACCTATAAACCGGTTGCAAAAAATGTTTAATACAGGGTTGAATACTCAAAAGAAGTTCATTCAAAACCTGTAATATGAATACTGACTTTTTTAAAAAAGCACTGATATTTCATACAGCTTTAAAACAGTTTATCAGGAATGCATCTACACTGTTGATGGGAGTGCAAGCTAGTTCCACCTCTATAGAAAGCAGTGTGTCGACTCCTAAAAATTGACCTTCCGTATAATTCAGCCACTCCACTCTTGGTAATATACCCAGAGGAACATAAATCATTCTACAAAAAAGACACCTGAATATACATGTTCATAGCAGCACTATTCACAATAGCAAAAACACGGAACCAACCCTACTGCCTATCACAAGTGGACTGGATAAAGAAAATGGAATATATATGCATGACAGAGTATTAAGCAGCCATAAAGAAGGACAAAATCATGACCAACTGGATGGAGTAGGAGACCGTCATACTTAGTGATCTATCCCAGAAACAAAGAACTGAATACTCCATGCTCTCACTCATAAGTGGGTCCTGTACACGAGTCACATTAGCACAAGGGAGGGAGTAGCTGTTACTAGGCACTGCCAGCAGAGGGGGGGGGGGGGCTGTAACAACACAAAGGATACCTGGTCCTAAGCCAGGGAAAGTGAGGGCCAGATGGAGGCCCAAACTTAAGCTGCATGCAGCCTACTTGTGTAGTTAATCCTAACCCTGCATATCTATACTAAAGTAAAATAAACAGTTCATCACCGTTTAATCTTCCCCCAACCACTACTTCCACACACACACAGAAATATGTCAAAACTAAATTTGTAAAGCTGTTATAAAGTTTAGCATCCTCTGCCCACTGATGGAGATGCTGAAAGACAAGCAGATGACATGAGGATGATGAGCAAGAAGAAACAAAATGTTGGACAATCCATGAATAGACAGGGACTCTGCAATTGGCAGGTATGGTGCACGTAACATCCCTAATTCATCAGTTTATCTCCCAGGTACACTAAAATTCTGAAGTAGAGAGAGGAAATAAATACTTATAGCCTTGCCCAAGGACTCATCTCTCAATCACCTATTTGATCAGAACCTTCCTCCACCACCCCAGAAACAGGAAGACAGCCAGACAGGAGCTCTCAGAGCAAAGGGCTGGAAGAGTCCTTGCCGACCACCCAATCTAACAACCGCAATTTGCAATTAAGGAATCTCGGCTAATCAAACAACCTCAGTGGTCACACTGAAGCCAAGGTCTCTCAGTGTTCCTTTCACAGCACCACGTGACTGCCATCAAAGTTGCATCATCAGATAAAATACCTATTCATCACCCTGAAATATTTGTCCAGTGTCCAATTTATAAATGGTCATCCAAGAAATACCATGGAATAGAATGACTACAGCTCACCAGTTTGGCAAACGCTAAGGTGTGTTCTGTTTGCCCCTAAAACCCAAATTACTTTTTACTCACATCATTTGCTTATATCCACTGAAACTGGCCGAACACTTTTAAAATATATTCCACACTCAGATTTCCAAGAGAGAATGCTACAAAAACCACTACCATGCAATTCATGAGAATGGGATTAGTACCTTTCCCAGAAAGCATTCTCCGGGGTGCCTTTCACATAGATGGAGTCGCTGGCATCATTCAGCCCATTGGTGACCCCACCAGAATAGCCCATCATGATTCCACCATCTGCTGAGACACTCAGGACATCCTGAAGTCCTCCCCCTGATGTCCTCTCCAAGAACTGACCACCTTCTTTAATGCGCTGTTGTATCATTGGAGTGAGAGGCATTTCAAAGCTAAAATAGCTATCAGGCTCAGAGTATAACGTCTCCAACGACTCCGCACTGTAGTATAGAGAAGTGTTATCCAAAATGGTTTCAAACTGGGAGCTGTACACGTCAGTGGAATCCTCTGTATATCCGTGCCCAAGGATGTCTTCATCGTCCACCCTAATGTGCTCCTCTTGCTCAACGATTCTGGAAGGTAAATAAGAGTGAAGATCTCAATATCAGGTTAGTTTCTTCTTTTAATTTTTTCCACTTCGGCCATATAAAAAGGATGACACTATAGTTCTAACTCTTGTATTCATTGAGCTTATACCTTAAAATATTTGGGAAGAAAGATATGAAACATTCAGATTTTAAAATTTCTTAGTATATATGTAGCTACTACACCATAAATAATTTAATAAAATTTCAAACTAGTTTCCTGGTGTGTGAATACATGTAGTTCAATGAATATCTGAAGAAAATAAATTCTCATTATAGCCAACTACACTGCACAAATTCAGATTATTTGCAACTACCATCATTCCTAATGATAACAGAAGCAGATAAATATACCTTGTAAACTTCATACAGTAAACTTTCAGTAAAAATATACTAAACGTTCATCAGTCTATTAATACTTTCTGATTTAAATGAGAACAAATGTCCTCAAGATGACTCAGAAGTCAAGGGCTGCCCCCTGCTGACAATAAACCGCACTGCAGAGAGATTTCAGATCCAATATTATCCAATGACAAACCTAAAAAAAAGGCCAACAGACATGGTTATTAGAAAGCTAACCAAAACCATGACAAACTAAAAACAACTTACAAGTTAACATACAGGGGTGCGGCATTAATTCCAGCACATGAATGTGAAAAATTAATGTGGAGCATGCTCCTCAAATATTGAAAATGGACATCAGAATAACTAAAAAATTTGGGAGATAAATCAGTAGCAAGAGCAGAAGGTCAAAAGTTAGAAAAACCTGGAACTGACTTTTGGCTGTGCCAGTTATTAGCAATGTCACCTGAGGCAACTACTTAGCCTCTCTTAACCTCAGATTCCTATAATTGGAATGAACTGGAAATAGGAATTATGGCCAGGCGCAGTAGTTCATGCCTGTAATCCTGCCACTTTGGTGGGGAGGGGTGGAGGCAAGAGGATTGCCTGAGCACAGCAGTTCGAGACCAACCTTGACAACTTGGTGAGACCTCGTCTCTACAATAAATAAATTAGCTGGGCATGGTAATGCACGCCTTTAGTTCCAGCTACTTGGAAGGTTGAGGCAGAAGGATCACCTGAACCCAGCAGGGCAAGGCTATGATAGCCATGAGCATGCCACTGCACTCCAGCCTGGGTGACAGAGTGAGACTCCAACTCAAAAAAAAAAAAGAAATAGGAATTACCTATTAAACATCTCATAATTAATCCATATTCCTAGGAATTACCTAAATTCACATACAACAATGCAGGTGGCTTTCTTGTTTTTAAGTTATTGATGGTCTACCATGAACCAAATACTATGCTCTTAATGGCTTCTCGTTGCACTTGGAATAAATGGGACAGCTCCCAGGACGCCGTTGCTCCCTACCTCTCCACACTCACGGCACCCCACTCTCCTCTGCTCTTTATGCACCAGCCACACTGGTAGAGTTTCAAATCTTCAAACTTGACATTAGGCCTTTTGCTTCACACAACTCCAGGAAACACACATTCAGCAGGGAACCCAGCAGCTTCCTTGGCACATGTTGCTCCCTCTGCCTGGAACATTCCTCCTCTCCCTTCTCTGCCTGCCTAACTCTTACTCATTCCTCAAGTCTCAGCCTAATTTCCATTTCCACAGAAAGACTTTGCCTAAGCCGGCAACCAAATTAGCCTCTCCCCTACTTGAAAGAATAATTTGAGTTCTTTCTCGTAGTCACTGTTCTTTTCCTCCACTGAACCTATCACAACTTGTGATCCTATACCTATTAATGTGTTTATGTGATCACAGTTTATCTTCAGCAGTAAATTCCATGGGGATCGTGACCACAGACCATATCTATTCTGAACATTCCTTCATGCCCAGCATCTCGCTGGGTCAAGGACATAGAAGACAATCAAATAATATTTGCGGAAAGGAGGAGTTAATAATATGAACAACAGTAAAAGTACATATTCCAGTGGGAATATAGAAACTGAGCTATATGCCACATATCAAGGAGACCTTTGAGGGAAAGCTGGAGAGTTCATGAGTTGGGGGAATCTTGATAGATCCTAAGGGAGCAGCTCTCTCAGTGAATTTGTTAACTATAGGGAAAAAGGCATTTCCTTAAACTGAACAAAAATAATCCTTCAACCTCAAGACAGATGTTCTCTCATATATAAACTATAAAACAAAACATGGTGTCATGAGAATTGGTACAAATCGAGGTACAGTATGCAACAAATGATTTTACCAAAAGAAACACTGTATGTTCAGACTACAGTCAAAGAGAGTGAGGAAAGAAGGGTCATGCCTGCCATTTAACCAGGCTCTAGGCTGGTATGGACATCAGATATATAGGGAAAGACCAGAAAATACCACATGATGCCAGGTTTACTTATCAGGGCCTTAAATCAAAACATGTGCTACTTTTGCTACTTGCAAGAAGAAGGAACTCCATGTGAATATCATAAAACAACTGCATTATAAAGTCTCCTGCTGACCTCCTGAGATGACCTTTCTAAACACAGAATACTGAGTGGACCAAACCCAGAATCTCTGTGTTCATACCTGTAGG